GAATTGGAAGTGTATGAAATATGAATCGTTTTATACTTACATCTGATTTTAGGCATTCTAAACAATGCCTAATTATTCTATATAATGCCTGATTTCCATACATTACTAGCAACACATGTGTCGCTGATGTTGCTACTAAATTTCGAGGCTGAATTCCATTGACATTTACTGTTGTGGTATGAATGAGAAAAAAAAACATTCTTTCACAATACAGGCCTAAACCGATGTATCTCAAGAAGAATCAGCTCTGTTAAATAGAGTTTTCAAAAAGAACTGGAATGTCTTTAGAGGAAGATATAAGTGGATTCAATTATTAATAACCTATTAGATGCCTCCATAATAAAGAGGCCACCACATCCGGCCTTGTATAAATTAATGGACTGGGTTACATTTGTAATTGTTCACAATCTGCCATTGGAAAAGAAAATGATTTCCCAATGACTGACAGATAAAGGAGTTTATTACCTGACTGAAGTTCCTCAATAATGACAGAGGTTTCTCTACTTGAGCTCTGTGTAAGATGCAGAAACAACGTTGAATATATAGAATATTCAAGGCTACCGCTCAGTCGCTGATAGGCCACCGTTAGCCGTGGTGAATTAGCTCTGGAGATTGCATTTCTTAAATAAATAACTATGACCTTCGAAAGCTTATCTACGATGACTGTAACTAATAAAAGATTTATGGTGGCCTATCAGCGACTGAGCGGTAGCCTTGAATATTCTATACATTCAACGTTGTTTCTGCATCTTACACAGAGCTCAGCGGGTCTTCAAAGTGAAGACTTCGGTAAACCATAGACCTAATCGTAGACCTTTGTAACCAGTAGTGTCACTCGAGTGTATGGCTTTCACAGCTTTAAACTGACACACAAGGGCAATAGAAGAAGAACCGATGAAGGTTTTTTTTTTTTTTTTTTTTTTTTTCTTTTTTCTTTCTTTTTGTGAAAAATGTAGAGCATTAGGTTATTTTGAAGCAGGAAATTTGAGAAATAAGCAATGCCCTCGTCGGGTCTAGAACATGAATCTCTCGAATACGCGCCGAGTGTGCTACTGTTACACCGCGAAGGCTTGCAGAAAGAAGCGAAAAATACAATTTATACTTAAGAGCGACTGGGGATTAGGGGAACTAGTGGCCAAATCCTGATGCTGAAGAATCATCATCCCCCCACCTTTTAGCTCTGGCGCCACCGTACAGACATTAAGTTATTTTGAAGCAAGAAACATGAAAAATGAGCAGTGGCCTCGCCGGGCCTCGCACATGGACCTCTCGAATACGCGCCGAGTGTGCTACCGTTAACACCACGAAGGCATGCAGAAAGGAGGAACCTTATAAACATTTTTGTAAAACATGGAGTAGCTTTTATGAAAGGAAGATGCTTTTAGCGCCGAAGATTTTGGATACATAAAAATAATACAAAATGGTTGAAAATATAATTATTTTCGAGCCATTATGCAGATTTCTGGGAATAAAATTACCGTCCTACAAAACAGAAGCATTAGTTATTTCATATCATATATGTAGTTTTTAAAAATTACAAGTAGCTTGCGTTGCCAAAACGCCTAAAATATAAGTTATTATTAAATATATATATAATGATTTTGACTAGTCCAGCTCTTTAAGTAATAATGAAATAATGAGTTTATTTCTTTTAAACTGCTCGGTTTGTCAATGAAAATTAAATATCTTACGCTTTCCTCAATAGCAACGCTCTAGCGTGTGGAAGATAAAAAATAATTTATTTCTGACATTGAGAGACATACTATATAGTTTAAATTGCCGAGTTATTTGGCTAAGTTTGAAACATTAATAGCTTTGCCAATTGACAACAAACTGATTTTAAATCGCTGTTAATCAGCATTCCATTATGTTCGCACAAAACTTAAAATAAATGAAACTCAAATTCAAAATTCGGGCTTCGAGATGCATATGTTCGGGTGGAGAAATACGCGCGTTCGAAATTTGGTGGCTGAAAGTGACCTGAGATGACTCTCCTCGTCGTGCTGTTTTTACAGCACATAAATACATCCGTATAAATACGTAAAAAATTATACATACGATCAAACATATCTGTAATCCATACATACAAGCGTACAGATCTTTCATCAGCCAAGAATAGAAAAATGCATACATTGAAACTTTCGTGTTAATTGTAAAGAAGAAAAGAAAAAAATGTATAAAGTTATGTAAAGATTTGGTTTATTGAGATTACAGGAAAGGACACTAGGGTACTCTACCTCAGGGAGGGATGCCTTCGTGGAGGAGTTTCTTTGGAAAACTGTCTCGTATACACGTTACACATGGGGAAAACCATGAAAACTCCCATGCAGCCAGCCCGTTCACGGAATTCGAACCTCGGACCGAACTATCAGTTTCCAACGAATTTTGCCGCTCAGCCGCTGGTGGGCTTTAGTTGTGCAAAGAAAGTCTCAAATACAAAAATTCTTGAACTTTGAAAAATTCAAATCACTAAAAATATTAAATTGCATAAAATTACATAGAAAAAAAAAAGGAGAAAAAAAAATTTGAGTTTTGAAAGATTTTTATGAAAAATATGTCACCCTCAAAAAAAATTATAAGGGGCAGCAAATATAATCATCACCCAAGGGAATCGAAAGTTCTGGAGACGGGTCTGTTTACATGCATGAATTTTTTTCTCGATTGGCTGAGCATGGCATTGTCCAAACTCTGTTTCAAGTTGAGACACCCTAAAATTTCAGTCACAGAAAATGTCACGCATGAGCGTTTGTAATTTCAGATAGCCTTGAAGCTGACTGTAAACGGAACGACAAATGCAGTTATATTAAGGTAAGCTTTAATGTAGGTAAATATACATTATTTTTGTTGAAAATTATATCAAGAAGATACACGTGCATTAAAATCTTTCTTATATAAGCTACTTTGTATTACGGTTAGAAAGAAGTGTGCATCAAGGACAGGACAACCTCTAATCGGTTGGATGATTTTGTTCGAGAAGATACTTCTAATTTGTTTTCGTATTTTTCATTTGTGGAAAGTAGAAAACATTTGTTTACTGTACCGAAACTGCGTACTTCGGAAATTCTTCGCAGAAGTCTTATATGAAAGATGAAGAGTGTGCCATTGTGAATCTTTCAAAAGACGATTTTCAACTTCCTGAACGAAATGTTCGTATTATTCACCCAACTGTAACTATCCAATCAGAAGCTTATGAGATTAACTTCGCTTTTCCCTTCTCGCAGAAAATAAATAAATTAATTAATTAAAAATTTTTAAAAAATCTGAAAGATTTTAGGTTTTACATTACGTCTAAATGGGCGTTTTTTTTAAAATTTTGTGCGTTACATTTATTTATTTAAATATCACTTTCTTCCCACTTCAACCATAAAATTCAGTTCAACAGCAATATCGCAAAATAGTTTTAAAATGAGCATACTCGCGCGCTGGAGATAAAAATGTTTTTTCTGTACAACGTTGCAATGGCTCACTTTGAAATCCTTCAGTTTGTTAATTAAAAATTCGTTTTACAAAATAGGAAATCGATAATAAAACAAATTAAAATTTCAAATTTGTGCTTCCACATGCCCATATTCGTAGGAGAATTACGTCATTCAAAATTCGATGGCTCTATGTACCGTTGTTTTATCACAATGCGAGAAATCTACGTATATTTATGCAGATTTTTCATTATTTAATTTCATCAAATATAATGCAGGACTCTAACATTTGATGGCCACAGTTTGAAAAGTGAAACGGACATTTATTGTGAACCAACGCAAAATCGCAAAACGAAAAAAAATAGTCCTTGAGGGAGAAAGCCCTTTGGACTAATAAAAATATTAAAAAAAATTAATTTAAATAAAAAAAATCTGAAAGCTTAAAAAAATGTAATCTGATAAATTATTCCTGGTAATATAACAAACATAACACGCATCTTGCAGATCGTTTTTCTATTGTTTCTGGCCATCCGAATGAATAAAATAATTTGAAAAATATAAAAAAAGCAAAATACCTATTTATTTTTTATTATTAAAATAAATTAGGCCAATAAATTAGCAGTAGATTAAAAATTCCTACGAACTTTTTATTCTTCTTTGCAACTATCACAAAATTCTTTCCACTTGTAGTAATTATTTGTTCAAAGTAGAAGGTTAGGTTAATTGATTAAAGTATAACAATTTGAAGGCTGCCTGTCTGTGGGGAGAGCTGCCTTCGTGGAGAAATTTTTAAAGGATACTTGCGCGTATCAACGTTACACTCGGGAAAACCACGGACACTAAAAGGTGAAGATAGCCCGTTTCCTGAGACTCGAGTCCTTTTTTACTTGTAATGTGGAGTTATAATATTGAATTTTCTTTTATTTTGTTCTTCTCCCTTTTCTTTTTTCCATCCCTTCTTATTTTTTACTAGCCTAAAGGGAAATTTACCCAGAAGGGCTATGAATTCATTTTGGCATTTTGCGTCGTCCACAATGCTACGGAGTTTCACTTTTCAAATATCTACCCTTCACTATATTTATAGGAATTAAATAATGAAGAATCTGCATGAATGTATGTATCTTTCTCGCACTGTGAAAAAACAACGGTACCTAGGGGTATCAGCTTTTTAATAACGCTGTCCTCCACTCGAATATGGGCACCTGGAAATTCAAATTTGGAATTTGGAATCTGTTTTATTATTTATTTCATATTTTGTAAAACTTTAACGAATTTCTGATTAACAAACGCAACGATTTCAAAGCGAGCATGGCAACACTGTACGGAGAAAGAAACATTTTTATCTCCAGCGCGCGGGACTGTGTATCGGAAATTCTAAAGATACGCTGTTTTGAAATATTTTGTGATATTGCTGTTGAATTGAATATTATGGTTTCAGTGCGAATAACATAATATTTAATATATAAAGGTAACACACAAAACGTTAAAGATCCCTTTTGGGCGTAATATTAAATCTGAAAGCTTTCAGATTATTTTATTTATTATATATTATTTCATTTTATTTATTTTTTGTTATCTTTTCAGATTCTTAAAATATAACACCAGAAACACACTTGGCCTACGGTTACAAGAAGGTAAGTAGACGTTTATGCCTTGATCTTGGGTATTTCATCTTAGGTTTGTTTTCTTAAGAGGGCTAATTGACGGTACATTTACAGTTTCTTCCTTAAGGAACGTAAATACGAAATTCTTAGCTTTGAACTCTTAAAAGACTTCGTATTAAAAACGTATGCTTTAATTTTCGAGGATTTATTCCCAAGACATGTAGCCTTGGTTATTTCATTATAAAATTTTTATCAATTAAAATCCCACACTATTATCTAAAAGGCAATTCTGAAGACATTCATTGTTCATTTAATTTGCATATCGTATTTATTATTTATCTTCTAATATTTTTTATTTGCTTAAATTAACGATACAACTTTTTTTTTGCATTTTACTTTATTTTTTGTTTGCTTATTATTTATTGTTAGTCCAAAGGGGCAATTTTCTCAGAAGAACTATTATTCCGTTTTGGCATTTTGCGTCGATTCACTACAAGCGTTGTTTCACAATTGTTGCCACTAAATAATATGGCCCTGTATTATATTTAAAGAAATTAAATGATGAAGTATCTGCATAAATGTATGTATGTTTCTCGTATTCTGCTAAAACAACGGTAGCTAGAGAAATAAAATTCTGAATAACGTAATTCTCCTGCGAGTATGCGAATCTGAAAGTCCAAATTTTAAATTTGGAGTTTGTTTTATTATCGATTTCATTTTTTGTAAAACTTTAACTAAACTTTAATGAATGATTAACAAACTCAAGGATTTCAAGGCGAGCAATGGCAACGCTGTACAGAAAAAAACATTTTTATGTTCAGGACTGTGTATTGAAATTCTAAAGACCTTCTCATTTTAAAATTATTTTGCGATATTGCTCTTGAGCTGAATTTTATGATTTAAGTGCGAAGAACATGATATTTATTTTAAAAAAAAAGGTCACGCACAAAATGTTAAAAAAAGCCCTTTTGGACGTAATTTAAAATCTGAAAGCTTTCAGATTTTTTTTAATTAGTTATTTTTTGGTAGTATTATTTTATTTAATATGATTGTTTATTCACCGTTCCTGATGGCCTGTTCTATAGCTCTGGCGTTTCTAATATAGAAATTAAGCTCTAAGGATAAAGCATATTTGAAAAGCACCTCGAAAAGCAGGCTATGCAAAATAACCCACACAGAAAACATCGGTTGGAAAATGACATCCATTACGACTTGCAGTTGTCATCGGTGTCACGACACTTACGAAAAATCCAAGACAGACCTCGCAAGAATTAGCAAAACGCTTCAATGATATTCTGGATATTTTGTGGCTGTATTGCATCATAAATAAAGATAAACAAATGTGATTTTCAAATTTAAACTCGATAATTGGGTCCTTTTTAAACATACTGCTCTATTTAACTGCAGCGAAATCCCCAGCAATTAAATCAGATTTGACCGATGCAGAAAAGTGGGTTGTGCAGAGAAATATAGTGAGGAAAAAATATAAAAATATTGTTTTTAGAAAAATAATTTATCGTATGGAATCATTTATTATAATAGGAACAACAGATTAAAAAATTCTCTTTACATAATTTTGTTTACAATTTTATATCACGAATAATGAAAGCGTGGATCACCCTTTTTAAATTTATAAAGGTAATGGCTTATGATTTTGACAACGCAATTAAATTAATAGGTTTCGTTACTTAGGAGCTCACGCTTTTATGATTTGCGTTATAAAATTGTAGATGAATTTTTCAAAAAGAATTACATTTTTTGTTCCTATTAAACTATATGATAAATTATTTCTAATTGTTTTAAATAAAAGCTTATCTATAAAAACTTTTAGTTGTTTTATTCTTATTGTTTTAGTATGAATAATGCGCTATCGTAGTTGAATAATATCGTTTTTTTTTAACGATGAATAATCGTTCGTTTACTTCTAACAATTCTGTTACGTCAAGTGGTCAAAACAAATACGAAAAAATCACACGGTACAAAACGCTCTTGCGAAGTATTTTAAACTGTAGTCAACGATACGGCTAGGACTGTGGTATTAGTTAAATGATATATGAAAGAGTCGGATGATTGGTTAAGTATTATTGGTTAAGTACAGTTTTAGGTTAATTAATTAGTTAATACAAAAGTACGTGAAGTTTATCTGTTTAAGGGAACAAGTTTTAAAGGAGACTTCCAAAGAGAAACTGAATCGTATTCACGTTGCGAATGGGGAAAGCAACAAAAATCTTTTCAACCAGTACGTTAGCGAAGAACCGAAATCGAACTGAGCGACCAGTGTTCAGAGGAATAATCCACTTGGCCACTAATGGATGCTAAAGTTTTAAGAAGTAAAACAATTATTTGCTTCCTAAAGACAAAAGGAAATGTTTTCTAGCAAACCCAATACTAACATCGAAGAAACGATTAAATTTTCGAAACAGGATTCAAGAAACTGGCCGAGATTCGAATCTCAGATCCTCCAGTTGCCAGCTCGATACCTGATGTTTCCTTACTGAGGAGAAACGCGAGATCCAGTCAACTAAACTAAAGCAGTGACTCATTACCGTCAACCTTATTTTTAATTCCAGCGAAATGTTTTAAAGCAAGAATCATGAAAAGCAACCGTACCGCTACCCGTATTCGATCTAAGGATCTTTTAGTTTCTTACACGAAGCTGCTAATCATTTACACCACGAGAAACCACACGGGGAAAAGGGATAATTCCCAACATCTTAGTAATTCTAGATTTATTACTTTAAAAAACGGAAATCACTTAACATTCTCATGATATTTTCATCGAATACGGCAAAGCACATGAAAACTATCTTGCCTATAGGGAATGATCCATTTGTAAAGAATTTTCTAAATGAAATTAAAAGAATTTTTTAAGAGAAAATGTGTTCATGATTTAACAATCGTAAAAAATATTTAACTGCCTGAGAAATGTTTATAGTTTTGAAAGCAATTAAGTAATTTATGATCTACTCTATAACTTAAAGTAGAATGCATGTAAATCCAGAGAAAAAAAGCAGCGAAGATCTGAAAATCTTCAAAGTGCAATCAATTGTTATTTTTATAGAAGCTTTTAAAAATTATGAAATATTTAAATACTTAATTTATTCCCTCTTGCAAAATGTGTAACTGCAATTGCTTCCGCAAAATTTGCACATGAGATTCATCTGAAAAAGCCTAGAGTGCAAATGTCGAATCTCTCTCTCAGACAAATACGAAATATGGAAAAATTCTTAAAAAGAAAAGTTGTGGGCTGAGGTGATGTATTTTCGCTACTTCTAGGAATCTATAAATATGGCAGAAACTACAAAATATAATTTAAAGAATCCCTACGATTTGTGAGAACTGAAAATGCAGATTTAAATTTATGAAGTATCAAATGAACTGACGTAAAATCTTAAATTCAGAATCCAGGTCTGAATGTTATAAAATGGAGCTTTGGCTTTCTTTGACAGAAATACAAAAATTTGTCAGAACTTTTCTTCTGTTTATCGCGTGTCTCCGCCATGGTATAATTGGAAGGACATCCGTCTAGGAGTCAGGAGATTCGGAGTTTGATTCCCGGCGAAGGCACTGAAGATTTATTATGTTTCCTGCTTTAAAATAAACCTAATGACTACGCATTTACTCTCATAAAATACTCTAAAAGCATTTATATTTTGTAGATAAATGCAAGGATGTAACATATTCCGACGAAAAACTGCAAATAAAAGCAGTGGGTTTTTGTTTCTTGGTCTATATGGAGATCGAGTGCTGATGATACAGAAACTTTTGGTGCTGATGGTATTCTATGAGCTGCGATAATTAATGGCGATTTAAAGAAAGAATATTCTCATGTATTTTTGGATGAACATCTACTGTATAATGATTCACTTACATGTTACGTGAGAAGAGTGAGCATTTCAACGAGAAAATCCAAATGCGTTTTTTTATTCCTAAAAACAAAATAAAAACGTACTTAATTTGCCTTCATATTTCGAGTCCAGATATGAAGCCATCAGAAAACCTTTGGAATATTTTAGTGGGTGTCACCAGAAATATCGCGGACGAAAACGTCGCAGAGAAAACAACGCAAGGTGAAAACGTGGCAGTACAAAACATCGTGAGAGAAAAGAAAGCAAAGAGAAAACATCGCAGTTCTAAAAACATAGTGGTACACAATACCATCGTCGGAAAAAAAGCGGTTCAAAAACTTCGCAGTTTAAAAACGTCGTCGTCGAAAATATCGTGATAAAAAATAAAGCACCTACAAATGATCTCATGACGATAACATCACAAGCGTGTATTTTCCAAGCTTTAAAAGTCGTAAATGCATATTCGTATAATGATTTGGGAGTGCTAGAAGGTATGAGGAATATTTTTATTTTTATATTTCATAACTTTGAATTAAATAACCAGGTTTGCTGAGCAAGTAGGAAGGAAATTTAAAGCAATTAAAAATTGAAAACGAGTAGAACATTAAAGCAACTTATAGCACTTAATGGTATTTTAAACTTATATAGTTAACTAATAAGGGTTATTAACAAAAAAACTCTTTTTTGTAAAATAATCTGATAAATACTTAAACAATTTTCTGGAGGTAATCTCTTGCAGTTACTTATCTTCCTTTTCTAATCTTTTTAGACGTTATTATTCATGAAAAATTACCAGTAAAACCTTATAAGAAAGGTTAATTTACTAATGACTTTTGTTAGTTAACTATGTAAGTTTAAAATACTATTAAGTGCTATAAGTTGCATTAATTTTCTTCTCATTTTCATTTTTTAAATGCTTAAGTTTCCGTTTTAATTTTTCAGCAAAAATTCAAATTAATTCAAGTTCCTCTTTCCTTCTTGCACTACCATATCGGTATACGAATGTGCATATGCTACTTTTAAAGTCTGAAAAACGCATGTCTGCGATGTTATTATCATGCGATGATTTGCAAGTGCTTTATTTTTTAACCACCATATTTTCGACCACGATGTTTTTAAGCTGCTTTATTTTCGGCGACGGTATTTTGTGCCAAGATGTTTTAGAATTGCGATGTTTTCTCTTTGCTTTCTGTTCTCGCACGATGTTCTGTTAGGACGCCATTTTCGCCTTGCGTTGTTTTCTCCGCGATGTTTTCGGCTGTAACCATTTTAATGCAGTATATTTCAAAGGACCCTTTGCTACAGACTTTAAGCTCTCTAGAAAAAATACGAAATCTTGGTTTATCATCTGAGTATATTTTTTAAATTAACTTTTTTCGCAAGTTTATTGTCAAAGCCAATGAGAAGACAGCACAAGACCACGTGGACTTTTCTTATTTTGGCACAGTATTCTTATTCATGTATATATGTAACTAGTTTAAATTTAATCAAGAATTTTTCTTCTACCATTTTATCTGTTGCATGTGTAAAAAATAAATCTCCAACTCGCGATGGATAATCCTCACGGTGACATTGTAGTCACTCTTTTCACATTTCATATCCTGTCCCCTGGATTTTTTCATAAAATATGTTTACTTTCAGGAACACCCTAACTGACAACTGGCAAACAGCTTGCAAATCCACCAAGCTACGACCATTATATAGTGGAAAATGAAATGGAATGTTCCGAATGAAGAAAGAATTCATCGATGCGGCCAAGAATTCTCAGAAAAAAAATCAAAACTCTAATTAAACTTGATTAAATTTAGTTACATGACAGAAAAGAGCAAGTTTGATTTGTTAAAATAAAATTCTCTTCATATCTTTCGGATGGTTGAACAAATACCGGGAAGAGTAAACAGAACAAGTTCGCTGCAGCTTTCAGCTGTTTAAAGATGCGTGAAGATTCAGTTCTATTTTCGATAAAAGAGAGAAATCCTTAAAGGGACTGGAAGGTGCAGTGAAATGCATCTTCATGATCTAGATTTATGTTAATGTGGTAAAAAATATATTTCAAAGGGTTTTCCCATATAAAGAAATATTTTCACGCTTTGGTGAAATCGCATCTTGGAAATATCACCGCTAGTACTGATGGAGCATATAAGAGCAGGAAAAAATCTGTTTTTAAATAAATCGGTTGATTTATGATCCAAATGGCTAAGTCAACAGACGTGCGTTCTCCATCCCGAAATAGTGCATCAAGGCAAGTTGTCGCTATACGTTTGATCCCTATCAGAACGAAAAGTAGTTAAAGATTTTTTATAAAGATTTTTATTTGTTACTAGTATTAAATAATGAAGAATTTGTATATATGTTCAACACCTTGCGCAGAAAAAGCGTTATCTAAAACCGCCAAAGCACGCAGGCTTTCACCCGAACATGGCTCCTTCGAAGCCAGAATTTTGAATTTCGAATTTGGTTTTTATTTATTTCATAGTGTTACGAATTTTTGTATGTATGTAAATAATTTTAGTGAAGTCATGTTTAAAACTGTAATATCTCTTGAATAACAACACGAATATCTGAAGCTCAGAAACTCTACCGAAAAAATAGGAATATAGGTGCAGATCTATTTAACATTGAAGTTAATGGGTATTTTGGCAAATTGGAGAGATATCGCAAAGTTAGAGACGGTTTTGGCAACTTATTTTGCTCTTGGCGACCATTTGGCGATATTTTGGTCCTATTTCTCTATAACTAATCGATACCGTAATTGATCTCTTAATATGACTGTAACCGCATCCATCCCTTATGTGTTACTTTAATTGCACATTCCTTCCAATAATTTTGAGAATAGGAAGTTACTAGAAATTTCGCGGCTACGAGGAAAAAACTATAAAAGCCCGAAGAGAGCATCAGTTCTCAGTTGTTCAGTTCAGCGTGAGTTCGAATTACTGAGAGATCTCCGCAGGAGCTTTGCACTGAGCTGTGTTTAACGTCCTTAGTAGTCTGAAGTGTAACTACTGTTTGTACTATTTGATACAGATTAGAGCTGTACGAGAGTTTTTATGGAAAATTCCCCAACTAAAGAGTATTTATTTTGGTAAAAATAAATTTAAAAAAAATCTGTCATCGGTTCTGTATGCCATCAATTAATTACGAACCCATATGCCAGCAACAATATTTTGTGCGAATTTAATTAATTTTTACATAACAAATTCGGCGATGAAAAATCAATATGTTGCCAGTCGGTAAAAGAAAAAATATTTATATATATATTTTAATTACAAAGTTCCACGATTAAAATAAATATGTTGCCGCTCGGCAAATCGTAAGATATTTTTCTTTCAAATTTAATCAACACCCTCAGTGATTTAAAAGAAATGCGTTACCACCATGCGAAATAAAATATTTTTATCTTCCACGTTAACATTATGCAAAGCGTATGATATTTAATTTTTCTTTTCAGTTTAATGTCTATTATTCATTAACAAAGTAAGATATTAAAAAGCAATAAACGTAGTTCTTTATATCTTCTATTATTAATTACTGGCCGAACACGTGAAATTACACCAGCTAGACATATTAAAAACACTATACATTGTTCCTTTTTTATAATAACAATATTAGCCGGTCGAGAAAACGGCTAGTTTATTTATTTGAGAGCACTGTGAAGTTGTTAAGCCGCAGCATTTCTTTCTGCATTTTGACAACAGTTATCACGGAAATGCAAGAGCATTTGTTACAGCTGAGGCTACGAGACAGAATATTCAATCGATAACGGCACAACTAATTGGAGTTACATGACAAGTAAAAAGGAAAAAGTGAGCAAGCAGACGGTCACTCGGTCATTTCACGGTCGATCCATATTATTACGAATGCCATTCACACAATGTGACAAAGTGGTTCTTGAATTTTGATTTTGTTGTAACAAAGAAAATAATCTTGCAGACTGAAGTATTAGCCAGTTGAAAGAATGGGAGAATGGTACTGATGCTTCCGTATGCAACTGAGCACAAAAATATCCTTTTATTTTATTTATTTATTTATTTATTTTTTTTTCAAAATTAAATACCTTTTTTAATTTCTGTTGTATACAAGTCAAACGTTTTCTGCTGTACTTTTTTTTAGAATAAATATAAACTTTTACTAAATATAACTGTAAGGACCTCATAAAATTTAACAAAATCTCATAACTTTAACAAAATTGATTTTAAATACATATATATATATAGAGAGAGAGAGAGAGTTTCTCGATTTACAGCCTCTTTATGTAACGATTGTACTCAATAGGTACAATTCGTTACTATGCAGTTCTATAGATCTGCATGGTTGTCTCGATTATCCAGTGAGTACTTAACAGGTACAATTCATGACTATTGAATTCTATAGGTCTGTACTACAGTCTCGATTATCCGATGTCCGCCCATTCGGTACAATATCTTTCTAGCTATGTAGGTCTTCAGGACAGTTTCGATTTCCCAATGTCTACTCGACAGGTATAATTTATAGTAGGTACAACTGTAGATCTGCACATATCTGTAGTACAGTTTTGATTATTCAGGTTACTGGCTAGCTTCTAAAATTAGGTAGCAACTTTTTAAGTTAAATTATTTACGTAGAAAAGCTGTACGCAATTAATATCTTATTAGCCTGCTTCTCATATGTATATTGATTAAAGTTTTATGAACAAATGTTGAAAATTATTATGTAAAAAGTTTTTGAGTATAAGATGCCGGTAAGTTGAGAAAAGTTCTTCGAAATCTTCCAATCGCTCTTCGGCTAATAATTAATGATTCAATTCTTGGATTCCTATAACTTTTCATTGACACCTTTTCTGTATTCGCTTATCATAGCTTAAACTGATATTAAAGATTTTTGTTTCTTCCCTTTACATTGTTTCAGTTTTTGGGAGCTGGCAAACAACTTTTTTTTAGTGTATTATTTTTAATTAAGGTGTCTAAAAGCAAAACAACTGTGTTGTCAGTCACAGTTAACAGCTATAATTATTTAAAAAAGATTAAATAAAAACTACCTTATCTGCTATTTATAAAATGTTCAATTATTTATTGCAGGCACTAAATTTCTCCGCCTCGTCTGAAAATTATATTTTAATAACGAAAAAAACACTTAACGTTTGAAACAGAAAATTTGTTTGGTTAAAATAAGTAATAACGATTCGATTGAAAGGGAATAAATGAAAATTTTTATTATTTCTAACTGAAATGATTAAATGGAAATTTCTCTGATTATTTAATTTAAATGATTTAACTGAAACAGTAAATTAATTTAAATAGAAAAATCAGTTAGCTGAAGAACCTGATTACCTGAAACCATCCTAGTTCCACTCTGTTCGGTAAATTCAAGGCTCTGTTATATTCGCATTTATTCTTTTTAATCAGCCAGTTTTGTTAATTTCAATTTGGGGGGGGGAAGTAGCATGTTTATAGCACGTTAATGTTTAGTGATTTCAAAAATTAATCTTCACAGAAAAAATAATAACACAGTGCAAAGAAAAATAATTGCATATTTATGTGGAGAATTGCAAATTAAGTGTTTCAATTTTCAGTAATCTTCATTGTCTTACGTACGTCGCTTTTAATAAAGATCTACTGAAAAGCGAAATAAATGCATAATCTAGTGCCATCTGGTAGACGAAATCGAAGTTAAAAAATACAGCTTAAAATAAAATTGCACAAATTTTGCTCTGCATTATGCAAGGTTTCTAAGAAAATTTTTGTTAATATTGAATACATTTACATTAAAGTTTATTATGTTGTAAAAGTATAAAGAATTAAATATGTTTTACTAATGTTTTTACTAAATTACGGCTTTTGATGTTCATTTATATCAAATTAAATGAATCATTACGGTTATATACTATATATATAGTTAAAATAAAAGAAATACATGCAGGAAAAAAAGTCTCATGTGTTATTTTGATCCGTGAATAATCTCTACTTAAAGAAGAAACTGTACGGTATGCATGCATGTTTGCACGTCTCATTGTGGAAAAACGGCGGTACCTAGATTGACAGAATTTTGAACAGATTTAGTCTTTCGAATATGTACACATACACATTATTCGAGCATGTACGCCTCAAAGTCCAAAACTTTGATTTTTAGTCCAAAGGAATAATTTGCGCAAAAGAACTATTAATTTCGTTTTGGCATTTTGCGTTGATTCACTACAAGCGTTGTTTCACTTTTCAAATTGTTGCCACCAAATATTATCGCCCTATTTTATATTTAAAGAAATGAAATAATGAAGAATTTGCATAAATATATGTATGTTTCTCGCATTGTGGTAAAACAACGGTACCTAGAGCCATCCAATTTTGAATAACGTAATCCTCCTGTGAATATGGGCATCTGGAAGCTCAAATTTGAAATTTAGAAATTGTTTTATTATCGATTTTCATTAACGAATTTTTGATTAACAAACTCAAGGATTGCAAAGCGAGCAATGGCAACGTTATACAGAAAAAACATTTTTATCTCCAGCGCGCGAGACTGTATATCGGAAATTCTGAAGATATGCTCATTTTAAAATTATTTTGCTATATTGCTCTTGAACTGAATTTTATGGTTTAAGTGCGGAAAACATGATATTTAATAAATAAAGGTAACACACAAAATGTAAAAAAAAAAAAAAAAAAAATAAAAAATAATAAAAAAAAAAACTTTCCTTGGACGTAATTTAAAATTTGAAACCTTTCAGATTTTAATTTTTTGAAATTTTAAAATGAGTAAAAAACATACACACACATAGAATGAATTATTTTTTTATTTTCTACTCATGAGAAAAATAGTGCAAAGAAGCATGAGAATTCTTCCAGAACGTAAATTGAAATGATTTTGTCAGGTGAGGTTCAACTCAACTCTGGCGAAACAAGTCTATCAAACTTTTAATTAAAAAAGGCGCGGAAGCGTAAATAACATTTATTCAAATGCCTTGCTAGACGAATTGCTGTTAATAAAATTACCACATCACCCATCATCGTGAGTTCAAAAACGTCAAAAATGAACTTCAGCAATAGAAGAATAGAATATGGGACAAGAAACATCGGTCAAATGGATATCTTCTCTTATTTGATTGCAAACCAACCTATAAATTAATGTATTTCATGCAGCCTTTTTTTATTGTTATAATGGACATTTATAAAAAGATATACCCCAGACGATACGGTCGAATATGTAGGACACTTCCGTCTCAATGAATATACTGTTTTATGCACCTCGAACTGTGAAAGAATGAATGACATTGATGCAGAAATGCATCCATGGTCTAACTGCCAATGGGAAGAAAACTGAAGAGTTCTGTTTTTGCAAGAACTTATTATTTGAGCTGTTTCACTACACCTGTATTCTTTAATTAAGTAGAGACGAACGAGATTTCTATAGACGTAGCAAGCAAAGATACTATGAACATAGATTTAGACTGACATGGAAACGTTATAAAGTTTCTGTATATTTGAAAAGTGAAAAAATTTATAACGTAATTCTATAAAAGTATCAGATATATATAGAGAGATAGACATAGAAATATATATACATATAACACATGTAAGTTTATAGATAAAATATACTGCTTTAATTAATTCCTCGTATTACTAATTAAATGCATTTTTATTAACTAAATCAGATTCCAAAGTAAGAAAATAATATTCTTAGGAACTGTATCCTTTCTTTTTAAATAGGTTAGTTTGTTCATCAATAGCAGACAGATTAAATTTGAAAAATAAATATCTTGCATTTTGCCAAATGGCAACAGACTTAAATGAAAAGTGAAATGACACATTAAAGTAAAACAACGCAAAATCGCATTTCTAGACTAATTAGCCATTTGGTCTAAAACGGAAAAGGCGTCATGTTAATTTTTCTCCTATCATTAGCATCAAAGACAATGTAATGAGATTTGAATGTCATAAATTGTAAATTGAAAATTAAATTAGTCTTTTAGTAGTGGTGGAATTACGCTTGAATGTAAATTTCGACTTGTAAATACTTAGAATCATGGCCGTTTGTCATGCCAGCAAGAAAACGACTTTAAAAGGTTAAAAATAATTCAATACAAAATTGTAATAGATAATCTGTTAATTATTCAGCGACATTTTGGAGATTAGAAAAAATAATACACAATATAAATGAATTCATTAGTAAAAAGGGTATACGACATATGAGTAACGAACATGCCACAAAAAAGCGAAATAACTGGATACCAACGGACTAGAAAATTTAAAAACAAAATTATTAAAATTTTAACTATACCATATTCGTCACGGAACAATTCTATCTACTAATTAAAACTAACCTGAGTGAAACAAGATATTACTTAATTTTATTAATCGTTTTTCTTGCTGAAATTGATATCAATTAATAGTTTATTAAAGAAAATATGCATTCATTAAATATTTTGCAACGGGAACCTACCACACTTTCTTTGTTATGCATCAGCAGTGTAAATTAAAAAAAAAAAATGATGTGTGCTCCACATGACTTCCTTGTACGGAATATTAAATTATACACATTTTTTTCCTTGCATTTCATGTAAACTTATTGGATTGAATTGAATCTACTTCGTCGATAGCGCATAAACCACAATAAAATAAATGCACTCTTTAAAATTCACTATATTTGTTTACCATAGCGACACTCTGGCCCTAGGTTCACTTAACAGCGCTACATTTCAATCATTAACTCAAAATTCACAAAATTTATATCATCTTAAGAATTTTCTAATCGTTGCCATATGTTCTATTCAAATATTATAATAAATCTAAAACGAAATACGAGGGTCAGTCAAAAGTTAGTGCACTGCTTTAGAAAACAAAACAGGAGAGAAATTTTAGAATAAATTTATTTGTATCTTAAAGTTCCATTCAAAATCTACTTTTCAACGTAATTACCTCCGTTATTTAAGCATTTGTCGAGGCGTAGTACAAGTTTGTCGATGTCTTCTGCAAAGAAATCCCGTCCAATGCCCGATAACCATTCTTGGGTTGCCGTTTTCACCTCGTCATCCCAGTGATATTATCGCTTTGAAAGTTCTGCTACTATGCGACCAAAACCAAATCACGTTGCAAGGTCTGGGCTATAAGGAGGGTGATTCTAGTCTTCCCACCTAAACGTTTTCAGAAGGTCACACGTTTGTTTTACTGCATGCGGTCTTGCATTGTCACAAGCGGTCTTTCGACAGTTTACCTGGGCGTTCTATTTTTAAGTGATTGTCGTAATCGTTTTAGCGTTTTAGAATAGGAAGATGCATTAATTGTGGCACCCTTCGGCATGAACTCTGTATGCAGCAAACCTTCTCTGCCGAAAACAGCTGCAGCATCACGTTTCCCGCAGATAGAACAGTTCCACGCGTTTTTTGTGTCTAGGAAGTGGAATGTTTCCACTTGAGGGAGTTGCGTTTCGTTTCAGGTGAGAAGTGGTGAATCCAAGACTGATCTCCGGTCACAATTTTGTCCCAAAACTGATTTCCTTTCTTTTGGTAACATTGCAGAAATTTCAACGCAATTTCAAAAAGCTTCCCTTTATGTTCCTCCGTCAATAGACGATGCACCCGTTGAGCACAAACTTTTTGAAATTGAAGTTGATCGGCAGTAATTTTGTGTACATTTCCATAAGAAATATCCAGTTCATTAGAGATTTCGGCTATTGTTATGCGTTTGTTTGCAAGAATGCATTCATTCACTCCAGCAGACATTTCAGAATTTATGGCAGTTGATGGTCGTCCATCGCGCTCAGTGTCGTCAATATCTATATGTCCGTTCTTAAACATATCGCACTACTTCGCGATAGCTTGACGTTACATTGCATTTTCACCATAAACTTCATGCAACTGCCGATAAATTTCACAGCCGTTACGCGTTTTCGTCTACAGAACGCGAATCACTGCACGCATTTCCAATTTGGACGCCACTTGCAGCTGTTCAGACATGCTTATCGACAAACTAAATCGACAAACTTAAATCGACAAATTATCGACAAACTAAAATTGCCTTGTAAAGGCTCCTACGCCACACGATACAGCTAAATGTCTGAAGTGTCGCCAGAGAGTTTCATTGAAATAGCCTTTAAAAGAAAGATTTTACGAAGAGATGCAGCTAACATTCTGACTGACCTACGTATAAAAGAAATTAAGCAAAGAACAACAACAACAAAAAGAAACAGTTTTTAACAGACTTTCAATATTTCTCATTCAATTAATTCAGTTCTCTCTTCTCGACAAGGCAAAAATACATATAAACGTAAAATGTCTGTATTAAAAATTATGAAGTAAATCTTAATCACTTAATTACTAATTCGCCGCAAAGAACATGAGAATTTCAAAGCTAAGACTATATGGAAATCAAAAATCATTCAGCATTGATAACAAAGTTCCACATTGATTCACTGATGCGAAAGGTAATTTAGCTGAAAGCCTGTGTGAGGAAAGTCATCTGCAGCTTCCTAAGTCACGTATTTCGACTAAATTTAAATGTAATTTTGAGATAAATAGACCGTCAATGGGAATGTCTGAGAAAGAATAGTTGAATATATAGTAGACTCCCAATAAACGGGCACAAGGGTGAATGGATGTTAACCGAAAAAGCATAGTAATTAGCGTTTACATAAGCTTACAAATTAGCCGCCCTGATAGGCACAGTTATTAGCATTCTGCGCCTGTGTTTGAACCGTGGTGGGTATGGTTATTTGTAAAATGTATAGAGTTCTTTGTGGTGTAAGGGGACTTAAAATACCGTTAAGCCGGAAATCCCTCATAGAGGTTGCGGTAGAGGAAAATAATTAAGAAAATCTTACGATCCTCTATCAGAATTAAGGATAAACAGGAATTATAAGAGAAAGGCCTAGACCGACTCAAATGCTATTGACTGCCTCTTGGCGACGATAAAATTCGATAAACGGAAATCTCATCCAAGACCAGGAAAATTAGAAACACCATCAAAACCTCTACGACATGTTGTAAATTAGATTTAGAAATGTGTATTCTATTTTAATATTTAACAGAGATTTATTTATTTAATATTATTTCTATACTTTAAATTTTAGTTTAGATTTGAAATAAAATTGTAGGCTCTGCATTAAATAAATTAAAGCTCAAATTTTAAAAAAATCTAAAAGTGACATAAATATTCTTAATATCTGGACTTCAGCGAACCCATGGTAAATGGTAAGTAGTTCTAAGTCCCGAGGATATACTGAGGTGTGACATTAAGCACTCAGGACATAATATTAAAGTTTTTCTCCCTGTTTTTCTTCACAAATTTTAACAGTTTAAGGGTGTATTTCAGGAAATCCTGAGAATATCATAAATAGGACCTTTGTATCCTTACAGAATGTCGCTGAGACATAGAGAGAACGTCCTCAGGATATTCTAGGATTTAAATTAAACTCTCGGAAAGTGTATTTAACAGGTTTATGGGATATTCCGGGTTGTTCTGAGGATTTAATTTCTAGGACTTACACCCTAATAGCATTCTAAGTACGAGGCCTAGCGAGGTTGTCGTCAGGATATATTGGGATATGACATTAAGCTCTGAAAAGAATGTATTTAGCAGTTTTTCGGATATTCTGTGATGTACTGCGGATGTTATATAACTTGAACTTCGGGGACATAGCGAAGATATCCTGGTATATGAAAATAAACACTCGAGAGGATATTTTCAGGAGCTTAGCTGATTAGTTCCGGTTGTCCTGAGGATGTGTACTTATCCTGTGAGGAACCAAGGATGCTTTTGTGCTAGGTGGTATCACGCTTGTAGTTTTACTTTAGCAGTTAGCATGTTCCCTTTCTGCTTGTTGAGTTCAATATTTCAAATTAATGTAAATTAAAAGACAGGAAATAAACAAAATTATATATACCAATCAATTACAATCATAAAGCTGGTGTGTGTACTGGTGTTGTGGTGTATTTAATTACGGCAAAGCACACTACGGCTATCTGCCAAAGGGGAGGGATGCCTTTCGTGGAGGACTTTCTAAGGGAAACTGGCTCGTATACACGTTACACATGGGGAAAACCACGAAAACACCCATGCAGCCAGCCCGTTCGCGGAATTCGAACCTCGGACCGAACTACCAGTGTTCAGCGACTTTACCGCTCGGCCGCTGGTGGGCCTCTGGTGTGTGTACTATTACATATGATGTTACCACGTGTATGTTTCACATCCTAAGATCTTATGATTACGTTCATCGTCTTATGATGTTACGTCATATGTATCATTAAATCATACGTTCGATAATTCTCAAACGTTGATTAGGAACACTCTTACTCAATTTTTTTTCTTTTACACAAACCAGTCCATTATGTCTGAGTACAATGCATTGTATTTCCTAGGATTGGTCGGATTGACAATGGAAATTTAATTTGGGGAAAAGTTATTGGCAAAATTTCTTCCTTCTCCAAGAATGTTCTTAAAGAGCAGTTTTACGCCATTAGTTTTAATTTAGCTACATTTTTTTTAAAACGAATGGTAGGCTTAAACTTCTAAATTGTTTAAGTTTTCCGTAGGAACAGGGTTAAAACATATATCTAATTATTCAACAGCTATCTGCGTTTAAAACGGACGTCTTTGTAGAAGAACTTAATTTATTTATATCATACTCGAAAATGTCGCAAAGCCAGGCCTTTCAGTTACCGGGAATGGAATCCGAACAAACTACTAGTGTTCAAAATTATTAGTCCACTAATGGCCGAATGCTAAGACCGCTGAACACTGGTAATTTGGCCCCAGGCTCAGATCCCGAAAGAAGATTTTCAATGTTTTCTCAGATAATATGAGTATGAACAAATTTCCCTCAGAAAATTCTCCATATAGCCCTCTTTACCCTTAACATGAAAATGAATAAGTTTCCTTCAGAAAGTCCTCCATAAAGGCATCTTTATCCTTAAGCAGATAGCACTACTGTGCTTTGCCACAATGCAAATTATCCAATCCATTCAAAGGTCTCAATCGGTCTCTGATGAATAGTAACATAGATTAGAGTTTCTTGAATTGTGGGTCGCGGAACCTACAGCAGGAGGTCGACAGAAATTTGAGCAGTTTTGATATTTCTTTAACTTATTGAAATAATTTTACAATTACCAAACATTTTTATACAATGTGTCTGAAAATAAATAATACGGACAAAGAAAAAACGAAAACGTTTCGACGCTTTTTTTTTATAACATAAAGGTTCATTTTACTTGCTTTGCATATGACGCTGTTTGTCATTTCGTCTGTTAATAATTTAAAATTTTCACATTGTTATATATCTTAAAATTAGAAATTAAAGTTAATGACCTAAAACTGCAATACCGTATTACAGTACAAGTGAAAAAATTGACGGTTTCACTCAGGTGTGTATTGGATTTGCGCAATGCTTATGGGGTCCCACAAAATTTTCGTACATGTTATGGGATCTAGGGGTCGCGAAAAAAATTTCAGTGATAAAAAGGGGTCCTGAAAAAGGTTTAAGAAGCCCTGATATAGATTAATATAGGCTCAGGAACTGGACTTTAAGGGGGATATCACATGGTTGATAATAGGATTAGCCAATTTAAGTGTGTAACTTAATGTTTACACACTTAAAAATGTCTGAAAGTGTTTTAAAGCATGGCGCAACGACAAATGTTTTAAAAATCCACATGCCTAATTTGCAAATTTCTGAGGTGCGCACCGGCATAAATTAAATTCTTCACAGCTTCTTTGTTTTACTGCGAATCAGAACATAAGACGATAGTAGTTTTAATTTAAGAAGGAGTTCCTCCTGAGAACCAAAAATCATACGTTGTATGAACAAAGAAAGTACTACTATTGTCAAATACATGCCTGGACTACGGAAACACAAGTAGAAAATCACGGCCGGGTAAGCAGTTCCTGGCGTTAACTATCTCGACCCAACGAACTTGACAGTCCCACCCAAGTGAGGTTCCTTTTCTCCAGACCAGACACAACCCTCTCCACCTCTAATCCTTCCCTTAGAAAAAGCGGGGAAATACTTCCTTGCACTTGAACTTCTAACTAGGCAAAGATGAGAGACGCCGGTCGATGACCCAGGAGTTTAAGAAGACACGGTCCGCTAGAGGTCAAGGTGACGTCGACGATCGAACGAAGAATGTAGGATGCATGGAAGGAGCGAGATGTTCAGCTGGAGGCTGAAGTGCCAGTTACCAGGAAGGCAGAAATGACGTAGTCAATCGCGCCGTAAGTAGGTCTGGTACGTGAGTCAACTGTCAAATCGGATATTGTAAAGAGGGTATTGGGGTTGGCTAAGTCTGTTAGAGTTGAGGAAATTAAAAGTTGGGCTGGTTAAAGCAAGAGGTCAAATTTTTCTTTTGAAGGTATTCCACCTAGGGGGGAATTCCCCAAGGAAGAACATCTAACGGGTGCAAGGTCTGGCTTCCCTAAATATTGCGAGGAATCTCAGAAGAGTCAAGGACACTACTATGTTACATAAATCTCTTGAGTATAGTTGAATGTTGCGCAAATCCATGTTTAATCTTACGTATTGCAGGAGGGCGGAAATAAAATGAACGATTGTCCTCAAGTAAGGAAGAACTAGTTATATCCGGAGTCACTGTGTTCGAAGTATCACATCGTGTGCTTTGGTTCGAAAAATAAAATAGCTCAGTGCTTCAAGAGTTCGATTTTTTGCTCTTGCCTTGGTTTAATGAACTAAATGAAACTCTTAATTTTTTTTAGAAATCTATTTAATGAAGTTTATATGAGATATTAACATAATTTCTGACTTTGATGGCAATCGATTATTTGATGTATCACAACTGCTGGAAGTAAA